TACCAAAAAAACATGCCACTGAGATACTCCAGGAGAAATGCGTCGAGCAGGAAGAGGTGAAACTACAGGTTGATTAGTAGATACACACACACACAACACACACACACACCACACACACACACACACACACACACCTCTACCTCTGGGCCAACCACTCTACCAAGATGCCCCTCTGAGATGCTTTCATCCTCGTGCTGATATGACCATTTTGTCCCCCATAAGGAAGCCAGTCCCCACATGCTGACGTGTAAACAGATGTAGGTTCCCCACAAGTCATAGTAGATGCTAGGACACACCACACACACACACACCACACAACCTCTACCTCTGGGCCAACACGTCTAAACAATGCCCCCTCTGAGATGCTTTTCTCCTCGTCTGATATGACCATTTTGTCCCCATAAGGGAAGCCAGTCCCCACATGTGACTGTGTAAACAGATGTAGGTCCCCACAAGGATAGTAATGCTAGGACACACACACACACACACACACACACACACACACACACACACACACACACACACACACACACACACACACACAGGTGTCCCACTTAAGTAACAATCCCTGACTGCATCCTCCAGATAATTTCTCCTATTATAACATTCTTCTGTGATCTACTTAACCCCCTTGTTGCACCGTGCTGTTTGCACAATTAGTTAGTTAGTTTTGCAGCTAACATCTGATAACCACTTTGCAGGAGTTGATGGAGGAGCAGTTGAGAATCCCGTCGTTGTCACTTGGAGAACGGATAGAAAGAGCAAAGAGGAGAGCTAACCAAGTCAGGGTCAAGATTCAGCAAGATCTGGTGAGCAGACGTTACTGTTTTGTATATATTTGTTTTTACACTACCTGGAAACGTTTTAGAAAGGCTGAAAAAACATTACAAAATTAATTAATAAAACATTTTTATTCCTGCCATAACCACAACATGTTTTAGGTAGTACAGGTTCAAAGGGGTTTACATGTTTACCTATATGTCTATATGCCTGTTTTGTTGCCCCAGTTTGGCCCATTAAATCACTAAAAATAGCTTCAATTTAATCATCTGCTGCTTTCTTCTGCTTCTCCAGGACGGGACGCGATCAGATTGTGCCACGAGCTACGTCATAGCAGGAGAAGGTCTGCATCTCTTTACCTATTTAAGTAAACGTCTTACAAAGCTAACACATTAGCTCTAATGCAGGGGTGTCAAACTCAATTTCATCACGGGCCACATTCGCATCAAGGTTGCACTCAAAGGGCCGGTCGTAACTATATAAATATATAATATATATATATATATATAAAATAATGTATTATATTACATTATTGCCTCTGAATTGGAATATAAACGGATCGGATAATAACTTTGTAATGAACTACATCTGAAAGCAGAAGTCCAGGGCAAATAATTGCAAGTCTCTTCAGTGGGCATGTCACAGAACAAGATGCATTGGGGGACATGTAGTTTATGCGGCACGTGCTTCTGTAAAGTGACATGTTCTGTAAAGTGATATGTAACCGTATAATAAACATATTATATTCTTTGCAAGCTCTTGCGGGGCCACATAAAATGAAGTCGCGGGCCGGATTTGGCCCCCGGGCCTTGAGTTTGAGACCCCTGCTCTAATGATTAGCATGCGCACTTACTGGTCTCATGTGTCTACATATCAGCAGAAAATACTGAAGGTCTTATGATTAAAATGCTGAAATTGGGTCTTCTGTTGTGGAATTCACTCTGTGTTACTTACCTCTGAGGCCATAGACACTAAATGAATAACCACCTGTCACGATATAATTGTCTTTTTCCTAATGGTTTAAAACGTCTCTGTCCTCTGGCAGGTCGTCTATCAATGGACTCCAGCGAAGGCGACGTGGAGGTAGGCTGTTTCTTCGTCTTTTTTGAAATACCTGGTGAGGTTGTATGTTAGTGTATGTGATGGTCCCACTCATCCCGTCCTCCCTCCCTCCCTCCCTAGGCTTTTGAGAGTCCCCACTCCTCCCCCTCCTCCTCCTTCAGGACCCCACAACACCGCCGGCCGAACTCCGACACACACACCCTGTCTGACTCGGTGAGATGGACGCACACTTTCAGTTTCATCTAGACGACGCCTAAAGAGACGTAGCAAAATCTCTTCAAGTCATTTCTCATAATCCTCGAGTGTGTGACTGAGTGCTTCTGTCTGTGTGTGTCAAAAGGGCGGGAAGGCGCAGATCATCGGCCCCGAGGAAGAGGATGAAGAAGATGACGGTTATGCATTTAACGAGGTGAGAAGAACACTTCAGAGATATGTATGCCAGTTTTCTTTCCCCACTTCTAGTTTTCTTTCTGTTCCCTTCATTTATAAATGGTTCCTTTTTGCTCCGTCGTCCTCTCAGATGGACGGTCCGTTCCAGGACATCGAGCTGTTGAAGTCACGGCCGGCACACATGGCGGTGTTCATGAGATACGTCTTCACACAGCTCCTGGACCCCAACCCTCTGGTCAGTCTACGATAGATTTTATATCAGATTACAACTGCATTTATCCGTGTTCATTTTGTCCACTATTTGTCATTTTAGTCTCAGTCGAATATTTCGTTTTTTGAAAAAAAAGTTTTAGTGGAATTTTACTCTTATCTTAAAAAAACAATTACTATTTTAGCTCGAGTCAACGTAAAATGTTTCTTTTATTCTTTTCATACATCAGACTATATTAAAACATCTTAGTCTACCTGTTTGTGTCTTTCTCACCTCATGATACACACGTTCACTCACTGTTTCTCGCACTAAATTAAGACTTAGTGAATTAAATGGATTCTGCTGTTTCTGTACGACATTCCCCTTTGTTCATCTGCTTTCTTACATTTTGCGTGTGTGTCCACAGCTGTTCTACCTGTCAGTGGAGGCCTACCTGGGCTCCAGCCCTAAAGACGCTCGTGCGCTCGCACCTCAGATCTGCTCCCACTTCCTGGACCCAGATGCTGTATGTGCCAAATTATTATTTTATTTTTGTATCAAAGTAAAGGCTGCTAATGTGCAACGTGTTGAAACTATTTCTATTTTTGATTTGCAGAAGTAAATGGTATGAGAAGAAGCTGAATGTTCACCCTACTTCTCATACCATTTCCTTTATTTGATACAGGAAGTCACACATTTACCAAAGATCAAGATCCATACTTAGAATAAATATAATTCTTGTTACAGTGCCTGAAAAAACATGCTTTTTCTTTCTTTAGCCCCTGAAAATCAAAGTACGAGAGGAGTATCTCACAGATATAGGTAAGACTACTACATCGCAGTTGTGTTGTTGGCGAATTCAATTAAAGGGTGACCCCGCTGACAAGATGTTGTGTCCTTGTCCTTTCAGAGGGTCGGCTTCACGCCTCGGAGGACATCAGGGGTCCTCTGTCCGAGCTGCAGCAGCAAGTGTTGCCGGACATCCAGGACCAGATCCAGGACTACAGGTACTTTACTGAAGGCTGAGAATACTTAATACCTCAAAGGTCACCTATTATGCAAAATCCACTTCTTCATGTCTCTTCTCCATCAACATGTGTCCCCTCTTCTTCATGTCTCTTCTACATCAACATGTGTCCCCTCTTCTTCATGTCTCTTCTACATCAACATGTGTCCCCTCTTCTTCATGTCTCTTCTACATCAACATGTGTCCCCTCTTCTTCATGTCTCTTCTACATCAACATGTGTCCCCTCTGTGGAAAGAGACTCTGAAAGTTTCAGGAACAAAGATTCTCTCTCTTTTTGTCCTGATCCATTTCTATAAAAACCTGTCTGAAAATGAGCTGATCAGATTTTGGCCACTTTATGATGTCATAACGATTTTTTGGCTTTTGTAACCATTAGCCAATCAGCAACCAAGGTAACCCCCCCCCCCACCTTATCACCTGAATCT